CCACTGTAATGTAATTCTATTTATTGCATTTACACACAAATGGCTCTACAAGTGCTTAGTCACCAAGAAGTCTGTTATTAGTCATAGTCCCCTGTTTACTCTTTACCTTGATTTTTGGAAAGTTTCTTTTGTATTATCTTACTGTTTTTAATGTTACCAAGACTTTGAGAGCAATTTAATAATCATAATATCAGTAAGAATAGTAACAATACCAATATCAATAGTATTAGAAAGAAAAACACACTTAACTGCAATTTCCAAGGAATGGGTTAATCAGGAGCTGTCACTAAGGCCTGCTGACAGACTCCTTGGTGGCTGAGAACATGTATGTATGTAACAAAATTCACAAAAACTACTGGGGACAGTACATAAATCCGTAGTCATTGGGTTAATTGTAAATGGATGAATACTGCAATCAGCTAGGTAGATTCTGGATTATAATCATAATGATAATATCTAAAATTACATTAAGTAAATACATTAAAAAAGTGTATTTACACTAAAATTAATAGCAAATAGTGCTTGAGGTTCATATTATTCTATTTTGCCTCTCCTGCTTACCTTTACCATGTAATGTCAGGAAAAGTGCACGGCAGCTCTGAATTAATTCAGGCCTTTACCTTGTCATGACCATTCATCCTCTAAGCTCTCTTGCTGCCTTTCTGATACTTGAGTTACTGCCCTCATTGAATGCAACATGGATGAACCTCACTTATCACAAAACCATGAAAACATCCTCAATAGTCTTCAAATTAAACTTTTGTATCAGTCTAAAAAATATAAACACATATATTTTACCTTATTATTGTTAGTAAAAGTGAAAGTCCCCATAAAACTAAAGATGCATTCCAAAGAGTGCTGAGTTTCCTCTAACCATTTTCATGTCTCTCGCCCAGGCAAAATGCTCACCGGGTAGTAAATTTGGTCAACAACATTGTTCAAGACCCTTAAAGTCCTTACTATTACATCTTCATCCTGTAATGAATAAAAATGTATTATTTATTGCTAGGTTCAAGTTTTAAGATAGATTTGCCATTGAAAACATAGCATGTACAGTTTTCCCTTATTATGTGTAGCTTTGGCATACTAGAATTTACTTGTACACTTTTATCAATGGTTGGTCCTTTAAAAAAGATACATCATTAAAGTCATAACTAAACACTGACTAAAAATTTAATATCTGTACATCTTCATCTTCCTTAATTTTATTTGATAATTCTGGAAAACATCATTATGTAATACTGATATTCTTTGCTCCTGTATACCAGGGTATATCATATATAGCAAAAGAGTGCATAATGATAAAGATAAACTCTGATTTTCTCTTTCATAAGGCTAAATTTATCAATTTATCTTATTTTTCATACAAAATGTTGAAATTTCATATTGCAACTTATACAGACAGAGTGATAACTACTTCATTTAGATTTTCACCAACACAGTTTCCCATATGTTTAGTATGTTAAAGATATTTGTTTGATAATTTTTTTGTCAACTTGTTATTAATTTTTTAAAGGGATGTACAAATACCATAGTTTTGTTAAAAGCAGGTCACTGCAATAACTAACATGAGCATAATGGGGATAACTGTATACACATATGTTGCTCCCATCATAGGTAAACATTGCATTGAGCTATTTTACATACTTCTGTCATGCTCACAATAAGAAATTATGTTACATTCTTTAAAGAGTACAGTCTGATACTGACTGCACTGATGGAAATATACGACCAGAGATATGCATGTTATGGAAAGGGGACTGGGGGGATACCATAGATATATAATGATTGTATAAAGAGGGACATTGCAGTATATTGCTTATGGACAGAAGATATATATATATATATATCATTTACTTATATATCTGCTAGAGTTTCAGCAAGGGAGAAATTTTGTCACAGTGTAGGTGCAAAGACAGTGTTACAGTGTTACACCTCACTTTACAAATTCAAACTACATTCACATGTTAGGATTTCCACATGTGGATTTCCCAGAAGTAACTGCATCAGCATAGAGCTTGCAGAATGGAATTGTGTATTTAAGATAAGCATGTCTTAGGTCCTTTTGGAAGCAAATATCCAGTTATTTTTCCCTAAGGAAAACAATGGGAAATTAATTTGACCAGTTAATTGAATATTGCAGTTTCTACCTTCTTCACCATTACAATGTGAATACAATGCATTTCCAATCTGCAATGCCACATCTATATTTTTCAATTCACTTTTCCATTAGTTCTGATTACTCCATGTGAAAGTACTTGTAATAGTAATCAATGAACCACAAAATAAACAACCTATTTTATAGTATCAAATATAATAGACTTCTATTAACAGTTTAGTCATATACCTGGCAGTGCACCTCTAACAACAATAATCCAATCTAATCTGACCTTATAGTTGCACCATGAGCCCTAAAGAACATTAGCAGGATTTCATGTTCAACAAACTGTAAATCAAACAACAAAGGGAAGAAAAAAAAGACACATGAATATGCCAAATGTCTTTGCACTATGAAACAATGACACCTGTTTTTCTCATTCCTCTACATTTTCTAAGAATTTTAACCCAATACCGCCAGGAATGCTTCTTCACTAATGAATCAGTGAGTTGATCACTAGTCTGACCTATCTCACCTTTTTAACATTTTCCATATTTTTTTGGAAATATTCTATTTATTTCATATTGCTATTATTATTACTCATAATGTAGTAAAAATCATAATGTAAATAATAATAAGAAGAGCATGATTAATATTAGTAGCATAAAAAAAAAATTAAGGAAAATCAGGTGAGGGTATATAGAATACTAATTAACTCCTTGATGGCTGAGCACTTGTAAAGCCACTTATGTGCAGATATATTTCACATAACAACATTACAGTGAACATCACATTTTCTGTTGGCAGTGGGTTTAAATTTAGATATCCAGTACAGATATTATTGTAGCATGTAGCTTACAGCAGTATTACTCAATAAATGCATGACAAATAATACAGACATTTTAAGGTTTATTAGCATGGGTGGTGGTGATAAGGAAACAGGGGCAAAAATACTGGTGCTGAGGAAGAAGGGAGCAGCCTTGGAACACCTTAGTTTATTTGTTTCAATCTCTGTAATGTTGCTCAGATATCTGACTACTTTTTGTGCATTATTATTTCTTGAATTTTTGCTAAAGCATTTATTAACAGTTGCATATAAATACATTTATGTTTGGTTTCATGGCTAATAATACTCATGTATGTAGCTACTTTGTGTTAGTTAGAGGGAAGAAAATGCCTTTGATAAAAAACTTCCAGGCCCTGTTTAAGACCCTCAACTTACATGACTAGAAATATAAAAAATATATTTCAGCAAAAATGACATTTTTTCTAATATCTTAATATGATATCTATATTTCTTTTTACCAATACTTTGGTGGCTAAATAATGTATGTATATATTTCTTTCCTTTTTCTTTTCTTTTCTCTCTCTCTCTCTCTCTCTTCTCTCTCTCTCTCTCTCTCTCTCTCTCTCTCTCCTCTCTCTCTATATATATATATATATATATATATATATATATATATAAAGTGAAAACAGGATTATCCACAAAATATCACCTTATGACCAGTGCCTGTTGATAAAACTATACTGCAGCATTGGGAGATCATCAAAGAGTCTTAGCACTACTCTTGTCATTCCCAGCTAGAACTTGAGGATCTTGAATGATTCCTGAAAGACAGAAAATGGATGTTTCAAATATCCTTTACTAAGGGAAACTCCTCTTGAATTTAATTCCTTACAAGATAATTATAACAGTGCCTTAACCCATTTGTGACGGGCCAAAATGAACAAAAAATGGGGAAAATGCTGTGCTCATTTTTTATATTTTTTTGTGAAATGTCTCTAAACTAGATGGCTCTGCCTTACCTGATTTCACCTTTACTTGAATTGGCAGGAAAATGTATTTTCACTAGTGCTATGAATATCAATGGTTATTTTTATTATAAACATTATAATTACTATAATGTAATAAACATTAGTAACAGCAAAATAATATAACGTAAAATATTTTCGTAAATTAAAGAAAATAATGCATCTGGGCTTGTGTAATATAAAATAACATAAGATACCCCTCTTAGGCTTTACCCAATGACACTGCAAAATAATCAGAGCACTTTTACACTGTGCTAGGGCTAACATCAAGGTTGCCCACACATTTTCTCCACCTTGTCCTTAAGTCTAGACAAACAAATTATTGTTTTTTATTAATATAAATGAAAATGAAGATATAGGCCAATGAAGGTTTTATCCCCTAATGGAAACCTCCAACTAGATGACAGGCACTGTCAGACCCACAAAATTCCAAATCTACATGGCACACAGAACTGAGAGCAGCCTCCATGTCATAAAATGGATCGGGGCCATTGGGCATTTGGGCTCACTTGGTGTGATTGGTTGATATACCTAAAGAGGGTATTTATATTTTGATTCATCCTGGAGAAATACATAAAAGCGAAGGCCTAAATGTGATTAAAAGAGAATGCAAATGTTTATATCATTACCACACATTTAAAATTCCTGTCAAAGAACTCTTCTAAAATACTGTTAATGCTTTCAAACCTACCCAACCCTTTCTGATGCAAGAGGACTGATAAGCAGAAGGCCATACTGGAGAGTCCGCATGGTCTTCTCTCTGCCCCGATAACTTTCCAGCACCTTCACAAAGCTTTGTAGTGGCCATTGTTGATACAACCAATTAGGATGACACAAATCTTGGAAAGAAAGAAAAAAATTAAATTCATGTATTTGTTGTAATATCAGCTAGTAAAATATACTGACACACCAAAGGATTGAAACCATTTTTTAACTAGCAATAGTTCCTCTCTGAAATTATTATGCATTACTGTAATACTACCTGGTGAATGTTTTTTAACTGTGTAGCAAGACATTGCTGTGTTGCCACTGTAAAGAATAAACTATCTATACTATCTATACTATATATATATATATATATATATATATA